TTCCAGTGATATCCAAATCTCCAGTGGCTACAGAGATGTATCAGTGTATTCAGACATGTACTAAGCTATGTGCAGGGCATTGTGGCAAAGGAGGCAGGGACAAAAAGACAGTTCTGGCCCTGAATCTACCTCAGTTTAGTAGGGGGGACTAGATCCAAATCCCATGGAACAGGGAAGACTTCAGATGTCAATTGGAATTAGAGCTGGGGACTGACTGGCAGAAAAAACTCCACCAGGCTGAGAAACAGTCTTAAAGGGAAATGAGAGGCAGAAGGACCTGGGGGAGTAAAGGCACTGTGGTGAGAACACTGAATTGACATTACAGTGTGGCAGGAGTATTAGGGCAGCAGTAGGGAAAAAGTCAGGTGCGGGTCAGACTAGGACAACTCTAAAACCAGGTTAAAAAGTTAGGATGAGCAGTATTCATTTTTTTTTTTAAACAAGTGAGCACTGAGTGTTTTGAAGTTAATAACAAATATTTCATATAAAATTCCTACTCTGTAGAACCTATACGTGTCCTAATCCTGACAAAACCTTAGAAGGTAGGTGGTATCACTCCATTTCCAGATGAAGAAAGAGAACCTCAAAGCGGTCCTGGCTTGACCAGGACCACAAAGCTGTGAAGAGGCAGGGCTGGTATTTAGATCCTAACTTCACAGTTCATGCTCTTTCCCTGCAGCCTTTCTCAACTGGGATTTCTCCTTTGAACTACATATGATAAACTATTTGAATAATGATTTTCTCAATTCTCCCGAGAATGATACATAAGTAGTACCATCTCAATGCCTGGGAGAAAAGTTAATTCCTTGTATACACTGGATGCTTTATAGCTCAATTCTTTGGGGGAACCCTGGTCAGAAAGGCTGTCATGATTAGTGATATGTTTTAGGAAGATGGATCTGGCAGTGGGGTCCCATGCACCTTAACAGCTCTGGAATTATTAGGATGAGTTCCTCCCCACCTTCCCAACCATCCTGCGTCTTCTCTCCCTTCCCTATCCCCTCCAACATTTTCTTGTACCTGGCAGTCAAGTGCTAAAGCACAGCCTTCCTGCTCTAAGCCAGCAACACAAATAGAAGCAGCATCTTCAGAGCTGAAAACCAAAGGGGCCTGTGCACCCACTTTTCTATGGAGGTCAGGGGTAGAAAACTGGCACTAGTGAATTCAGAACCCTTCCATAAAAATCATCTGGCAACCTCCCATTACACTTCCAGATAAAACTAAGCATCCCCTCCTCTGGGAAGCTTTCTGTAACTGACTCTACCTCCCTGCTCACCAGGCAGGCGCAGGTATTTCCTCCTCTATGTCCCCAGAGCCCTTGTCCAGCCCCCTACCAGAGCATCTCTCCAGTGTCACTGGCTGTTTCTGTATCTGTCTTCTCCACCAGTCTCAGTCTCTCACGACAGTTTGCTTGATCCATCTTAGGATGCCCTGAGGTACATGGTCTCAGAGATGGCAACTAGCTTACCCAGAGTCACATTACAGTGCTGAGACTGAAGCCCAGGTGAGTCTGACTCCCAAGCTGTGTTCTTTTCACTATATTAGGGGCCTTCTGAAGATGAAGTGCTAAGCGCCCGGCCCAACACTAAGATTCAGAGGCGGTGCTCTCAGAGTGGACAGACCACCAGAAGAGGCCTCAGGAGTCAGAGGTTCTAGATGAGAAGAGAGAGAACATAAAGGTGATTTAGGTAGGGGGTGGGGAGGGAGGTTGTGGGCAGAAACAGAATTAAGAAGCCTTCAGGTAGGATTATAGGCTTCAAGGAGGAGAAATGGTATCATAGCTGCCAGGGTGACAGTCTGATTTCTTTTTCTTTCTTTTTTTAATTAAATATATTTTTATTGATTTCAGAGAGGAAGGGAGAGGGAGAGAGAGATAGAAACATCAATGATGAAAGAGAATCATTGATCAGCTGCCTTCTGCATACCCCCTACTGGGGATTGAGTCTGCAACCTGGGCGTGTGCCCTGACTGGAAATTGAACTGTGACCTCCTGGTTCATAGGTCAATGCTCAACCACTGAACCACACCAGTTAGGCCAGTCTGATTTTTTTATATAATCACTAGAGGCCCAGTACACGAAATCGTGCACTTGGGGGTGGTGTTCCCCTCAGCCTGGCATTGCCCTCTCACAGTCTGGGAGCCCTCGGGGGATGTCCAACTGACGGCTTAGGCCTGCTCCCCATGGCAGTCAGACATCTTTAGTGCTGCTGCAGAGGCGGGAGAGGCTCCCACCACGACCGCTGTCCTCACCAACCATGAGCTGGCTCAGGGCTTCTGGCTGAGTGGCGCTCCCCATGTGGGAGTGCACTGACCACCAGGGGGCAGCTCCTGCATTGAGCATCTGCCTCCTGGTGGTCAGTGCATGTCATAGTGACCGATTGTTCCGCTGTTTGGTCGATTTGCATATTAGCTTTTTATTATATAGGATGGAGCATGGAGCAGAGGCTTTTACAGTCGTTATCACTGACCCTCATGCTATCACTATCATACTTCTCAGGTGTTATCTTACAGACAAGAAAACTGAGGCTTAAAGAGTTAAGGTAATACATCCAAGGCAATACCCGTGGTAGGGTGGGGGAGCTGGGATTCAAACTCAGGTTGGCCTGACTCTGAAGACATCCTTTCTATTACTCTACATGGCCTCCAAAGGGGTCAGAGAACTTCCCACATTATCACACTGCTGACTGGATCTCCTCCCAGCTCTCTCATGGGTACTGCTAAGTCAGAGTTGGTCAAGAAAAGCTGCCCCTCCAGCTCTAACTCTCTAAAATCTGGGGACCCTAAGTCCCTGTGGACTAAGCAATTTCAAGGACAAGGGTTCTGTGTAGACTTGGTAAACACAGGCTGATCTCCCAGAGAGCACGTCCATCTCATTTGCTGCAGCAAAGCCGGTGGCAAATATAGGTTAAGAAAAGTGGATGGTCAGGAAGGAAGTTCTCCTGCTTTCCCTGAAACCCTTGGAGAAGGTCAACTGAGGTCAGAAGACTTTAGAAATGTTACTGGCAATAGCCCCCAGGACAAGGGGGTAGGATCCTCCCTCTCGGTTGGCTGGTCACACACACAGGCTAACCAAGAGAGGTCAAGGGGGGAGGGAGGTCATAAGTTGGCAGGCCTGTAGCCCTGAGTGACGGCCACTTGTTCAGATCAGGAAGGGAGAAATAAGTGGGTTAATGGTTTTGGCCCTTGAGGCTGGGAGGCTAGGGCAGGGGGTGTAAATGGAAGCTGGGTAAAAAGGCAGGTGGGCAAACTGTAAAAGTGGGGGCAACAGGCATCTGTTCCAAGTCAACAGGCAGGAACCATGCCCTTGAAATGATTCAAAGGGCCAGCCTTGGCCTGGGGGGAAAGGGGGACACGTCATAAAAGGCCTGGCCTCTTCATTTCAAAGGTGTTCGATCTGGAAGGCTGGAGAGAGGGTCTCTTTTTAGAGTGAATCCCTGTCTGTTTGGGGGCTGAAGGGAAGCGGGAAATGTAAACTACTGGACAATGGCTGGGGGTATTGATTGATTTTAAAGCATGGCAGAGAGAAGCCCCACGGTGAATGCTCCAATTCTTAGCTACAAATGTCTCGCCAGAGAGCTTTCCAAAGGACAAAGTGAGTAGCAACCTGCTTGGGGATATTTTCTGCTTCTGAGAGCACTAAGTTTTTGCTCCAAAAGCTTCAATCATCCCAGGCACTGTTACCACAATGTATATGCCCCAGACCAAGGCACATCATGGGGTAGGACCCTTGTAGGCTGGGGGTTTGGGCCAGGCCTGGGTATTAAGCCAGTGTGGTTGGATTTGGGGGTGTTGGGCCAGCAGGGTAAAGTCTCTGGGACGAACAGAACTGTATTTGAAAACTGAATTTTGAAAAAGTGATTGGGCTGAAGAGGACAGTTAGCAGAAGTTACAGAAAAGAAAATCACAGCTCATTTAAAGATATTTCAAGCAGTCAAAGAAGAAGTGAACTAAATGGATACCTAAAATGAAATGGACTCCCAGGGAAGAAACAGAATTCTCTCAGTTCTGGACAAAATCCAAGGAAATGCCAGCCAGCCAACTACTGGAGAGGTTTGTACCAGGAGGAGAGTGGGTAGCCCTGACGACCTCTGAGGACCCTTGCAGCTTGTAAGTTCTATGAAGAATGATCCCTGACAAGCAGTCCCTTGGATGGGTGTCTAGCCCCAAAGATGGTCTCTAGCCCCACAAAAAGTGGCATTGAGAGCATAAACAGGCAGTCATGTGCCATACTCAGGGGTCTGGGCACCACACATCCTGGCAACATGCATCGCTCCCTATCATGAAAAGAGACTGTAGTGGGATAAAAGAAAGTAGTATGAAAAGTGACTGCTTGGGAGGTATCAGGCAGGGTGGAAGATAACACTGCACCAGACTTGGACAGGAGCAGACCAGCCTGAATCTGGGGATTGCACATACTGTCCCTCCATTTAAATCAATGCTCTCTCAAGGGAGGGTATTCAATCATTCAGCAAATGCTTATTGAGTGCTGGCTGTGTGCTGGGTACTGTGCTAGGTGCTGGGTTTGCTGACTTCAGGGAGCTCAGAGTCAAATTAGGGAGAAGACTACTGAAAACATAAGAACAATGTCAGACTGTGACAAGTATGAGTTTAGACTGGGGTGGGGGTGGAATCAAGGAGGATGTCTTTGAGACCTGGGTTAACAGGGATGTGAAGGTCCTCCCCTTTGTCTACTAGCCCTGCATTAGAGGTCATAGTGGAGAAGAAAGGACACTTTTGGAAATTGCAACGAACAAGACTCGCAGAGCATGTGCAGACAGGCAGGATGGTCTGGTACAAAACACAGGTAGGCAAAGATGTTCCACCCACAAGAGGTCAAACCACATGTACACACTGCCCCTCTCATTAAGTACTGCCACCCTCAAAGCAATTCCAGCCCTGGGAGGGTAACAGGGCTATGGGCGAGCATGGCATTTCCAGAGTGGAGAGGTTGTCAAGTTTCTCTTTCTGCCAACCCCCACCCCATTCATCCATGCTCTTACCTCCATTAAGCAGCTCCTTGACGGTGCGGTAGTCGTCCGCAAGGGCAGCATAGTGCAGGGCTGTGCAGCCCTTGAAGCTGGCGCGGTTGTTCAGCCGGTTGTTGAAGTCATCTTCTCGGGTGACCAGAACTGGGGGGGACAGTAACACAAACCCTTCTATTAGCAACAAATGCTCTGAGCCACCAATTTCACCATCTTTCTCTTGGCATTTTAATTTACTCACTCACCCATTTATCTACTTGCTAAATATGCAATGACACCTATTATGTGCATGGCAATCTGTGCCAGGCAAGAGAAAGTAAAGCAGAGCTCAGTTAGTTCCACAAACATTTACTGACATTTATTATGTGGTAGGATTCATTTGGGGACACAGAGTGAATCAGACATGGTCTCTGACCTAATCTGAAGAAGGAGACAGAGAACAAACACATGTTTATTGTATTATTTGAGATAAATACTATGTTAGAAATATAACAGGATGATATAGAAAGCCAGAGGGGAAATTAGCTCAATTTGGGAATGAAGAGAGGATCTCAGATGTCCAGAATCTTGAAGGGTGAAGAGGAGCCATCCAGGTGAAGAAAGAAGGCTGGGGTAAGAGAGGGAACCAGTGGGGCAGGAGACAGAGGCTGTTCTTTGCAGAACAGTAACATATCCCTCTGCTCTGAAGATGTTTACAACCTAGTGAGTGTTTGATATTATTTTGTGATGACCTTTTATAATTTATAAAAGCCATTAAAATTTTGAAACTACAGAAAAATACAAAGAAGGGATCAATATCTCTGCAACTTGAAAAACTGCACTTAATATTTTGGTATATATACATATATATACACATACATATATACATATATATATACATATATACACACATACATATATATCCTATAGAATTGGAATTTACTACATTGCAATTTTGTAATATGCTTTTTTACCCTTAATAAATGCACTGTGAACATGTTTTTAAAGGTAAGATTAAAAAGTATTTCATGTGATCAAAGAACCAAAAATCCTAGGCTCACTCTAGTGCTAGTATTCATGACTCTCCCTCTCCAATTTCATATTAAATAACCTAAAACCAGTTCTGTCACTTTTATAGGACCCTATGGGTTGGGTGACCACACACATCCGGGACGAACCTGGTTTATGCCTGTTGTCCTGGACAGTCCCAGCCTGGAAAATAAATTGGAAGGTTACCCCACCTCTGAGGTCCTCCCTTGGGACCTGAGACCCCATAAAACAACTATAATACTTAGGTGATGGGGTTTCTTTCTGCCCCAATTATCAGAGTAACTGTTATGTTCCCTCCTGAACTGAGTTCATTGGGAGTGGAATTTGGGTCCTACCTACCTGAACCCCCTTCTCTAGCCCAGAGCACAGGGTCTGCAAGAGGTAGGTTCCTCTCACCCCCCACTGGGTAAGGGGGTGTAATTCAGCCAACAGGTAACCTTGCCTAGGTAGTTAAAAGCATCAGACAATTCCTAAACCATTCTTTTCCAAGTAAGTGGTATTAGAATAGTGTCCATGCATTTTTCCCTCCCTTCCTATTTAAAGTTCAAAAAGCCAAAGACTGTCATGCCTTCTCCTAATACTAACAGATCTCATTTACTGACCTTTTTCTACTCTGTGCCTGGCAAGGTAGCTTCACACAATCTATTTAATTCTCATAACTATCTTATATAGTGGGTATTATCATTCTCATTTTATAGATGAGAAAACTGAAACACAGAGGTCACACAGCTAATACAGGGGTGAGCAAAAGTAGGTTTAGAGTTATAATACAAATAAATCATATAACAATTAATAAATACTAGTACAAGAATAAAATCTGTGTTTCATGTACTTGCAATTATAAACCTACTTTTGCCCGCCCTTGTACGTGGTTGAGGGAGGATTAGAACCCATGTCTAATCTGAGTCTTTACTCTTTCTCTCCACCATATCATGCTGGCATCCTAATTTTGCAAATGAGCAAATCAGATCCCAAAGAAAGGAGCTCAGAGCCTAGATGTCTGGCCCCAGCCTTGACTCTTATTCTCCCTCCTTTTCCTGCTCAGGTGAAGGTGCACCATACTTTCTGCAGAACTTGCCTTAACAGGGAACGGCCTGAGATCTGTAGCTAGCTTAGGTGGGAGTATTTCAAATGTTTGGCCAAAATGAAGTTGGTGGAGTATGCAGCTGAGACTAGACCACACTTTCTTGTGGCCTATGGACTCAATAGTCAATCAGCAATTATGCACCACACAGAGGCTTCCAGACCGATAACTTCCTCCCCTCCACACCTGGAGTGTTATCTGACCTTTCCTGGAGTAGAGAGAACAGGAAGAAGGCCTCTGAGCAGCTAACACACAAGTCGCATATGCATTTTTCCCATAAGAGAGCCCTTTAGAGACCTAACTCAGAGAGATTACCAACTCTTAGTGGCAAACAGTCTTATCAAATAACAGTAAGTGATCTTTGTTTCCAGCTCTCTGCAGATTAGAAGAAAACAATAAGGCTGGGGAGGAGGCTTCATAATCAAGCAGACTGATTACAATCAAGTGGTGGCCAGGCAGGGAGGGAAAAGAACAGTAAAAAGCTAAAAAGAAATCCACAGAATACTGCACCTCAAAAACCCCTAAGGGCACCACTGAATTGCCCATAGGACATTAACTGCTGGATACAATAATGAACCTGAAGAAAAGTGATAGTTGGTTCAAGAAAGCAGGAAGGGTGTAATCCATTTTACAAAGAAAACACACCATTCATTCAACAAACAACACTTAATGAGCACCAATGCATGGTGGTAGCTGCTGGAGGTATGCTAATGAATAAGAGTCTAATGCGAACTGGACACCAAAGCTCAAGCAAGCTTCTCCCGCTGGCAATGCTCTGTGCACGCTGTCAAGCATCGGTACTGGGGAAGCAAAGCTGTACCTGACTCCATGAGAAAAGAGCAACTAGAAGCTCCACATTTAGTACTTTTCTAGATTGCTCTGTGTGCCTTTTCCCGTGACTGGTTTATTTAAGTCTGTATCCTTCAACTGAAGTGAACTGTAACTGAGGAAACCAAGATGGTGGCATAGGTAAACACCGGAAATCGCTGCCTCGCACAACCACTTCAAAAATACAACTAAAAGACAAAACTGACATCATCCAGAACCACAGGAAGGCTGGCTGAGTGGAAATTCTACAACTAGAAGGAAAGAGAAAAGCACACTGAGTCTCAGAGGAGGTGTGGAAGTAAAGTGCAGAGGTACGGAGGTGCACGTGGAAAGGGCTGGCAACTGAGGACACGGTTGTCTTTTTCAATCTGGAGGGAGACACAAGCTCCCGACTGCTCTGAACTCCAGTTCCGGGCGAGTCTCTGGGGACCTAGACTCATACGGGGAGAAACTGGACTGTCTGGCATCGGTTGGAACTCGAGGGCAGCTTTCTCTCAGAGGTGCTTGCAGCGATTACCGGGACACTGAGACGCGGGGCCTCTTAGGGTAGGACTGAGGATCAGCCATAGCTGTTTGCTCCGCCCTGTTGATTCCCTGAGACCCCGCCCCACCCAAGCTGTGAGCAGAGGCTTTTGCATATGAAAGGGCCTGGCCCTTTGCAATCTGAAAATTACCTAACAAACTGCAGCTGAGCCAGAGACCCAGAACTTCCAAAAGAAGGCCCAAGGCCCCACAGCAGCTTGCATTGCTTCACAGC